CAGGGTTCCCATAGACTCACTGTCCATCTCCAGCAACGCTTCTCCATTCCCGGGTTATGTGTCTCCTCAGACCTGTGAGCTCAGTGAGGACGAATCATGTCTGGGTTTTTCACTTTCGTATGCCCAGCACCTAGCACACGATCTGGTCAAGGCAGACTTTCCTCCAGTCCTTTTTTTTTCCTTTTTTTAACAGGCGGGGTCTAATTCTGTCACCCAGGCTGGAGTGTAGTGGTGTGACCATGGCTCACTGCAGCCTTGAACTCCTGGGCACAAGGGATCTTCCCAGTTCAGCCTCCTGAGTAGCTGGGACTACAGGCTGGCTAATTTTTTAAATTATATTTTGTAGTAGCAGGGTCTTGTTTTCTGGCTCAGGCTGGTCTCAAAGTCCTGGCTTCAAGTGATCCTCCCACCTCAGCCTCCCATAGTGCTGGGATTACAGGCATGAGCCACCATGCCCAGCCCAGACCCTTGATAATGTTTGTTGAATGGGTGAGTGTATGTGCTAAGGCATTCACTCACCGATTCCTTCCTCATGAAGCTTACATATAAATTGGAGAGAGACAAAAGATAAAAACTACATGTGATAAATGCCATATAGTGATAAATGCTATTAAGAAAAATAAAGCAAAGGAACAGGATAGTTTCTGGAGGATGTTACTTTATGTTAATGGTCAGGGAGGACACTGTGAGGTACTCCCTGTGCCCACTCCAGGGCACTTTGAGGTAGTGGGCTGGGAGCTGAGACCTGAAGGAAGGAAGACATGTGGCTATCTGGAGGAAGGGTATTGTTTGTTTGTTTGTTTGTTTGTTTGTTTGTTTGTTTGTTTAGACGGAGTCTCGCTTTGTCTTGTCCAGGCTGGAGTGCAGTGACATGATCTTGGCTCACTGCGGCCTCTGCCTCGCAGGTTCAAGTGATTCTGTCTCAGCCTCCTGAGTAACTGGGACTACAGGCATATGCCACCATGCCCAGCTAATTTTGTATTTGTAGTAGAGGCATGATTTCACCATGTTGGCCAGGCTGGTCTCCAACTCCTGACCTCAGGTGATCCACCCACCCAGACCTCCCAAAGTGCTGGGATTACAAGTGTGAGCCACCACACCCGGCCGGAGGAAGGGTATTTTAAGCAGAGGGAAGAGCATGTGCAAAGGCCTTCAAGTGGGAGTGTGCTTGGCACTTTTGAGGAACAGGACAGAGCCCAGTGTGACTGGGCATGTGAGAGAAGGAAATAGTAGTAGGAAATGAGGCCCAGGCTTGGCCACAGGCCACTTCTCATGGGACTTTGCAGGCCATGCTGAACAGAGGCAGGGTGTGTGTGATTTATAGTTCAACCGGCTCACTCTGGCTGCTGCGTGGACAATAAGATGATGAGAGGGACAAAGGAAAATGCAAGGAGCCCTTCAGGGAGACTGGTACAGGATGCCAGGCAAGGTATGATGGATCCTGGACCCGGAGGGGGGCCATGAAGATGTGCGAAGTGACAAGACACAGGGCATATGTTGAAGGTGGAGCCAACAGGGTATCGTGCTGGGAGGAAAAGAGGCGCCAAGGATGACTGAGAGGCTTAGCCTTTCATCTCACCTCAGCTGTGAAGATGTGGTTGCAGAAGTAGGCTTGGGAGCACTGTGGAAATAAGACTTCATTTTTTGGCATGTCAAGTTTGAGGTGCCAATTAGATATCCCAGTGAAGATGACAAGAAGGCGTCTTCTTGTCACCAAGTCATTCGTTTATGTTACCTGCCTGGTCCCTACAGGGGTGAGTTTGCTATTCTTCAAGAAGACCGGGGAGTCTAGCCATGTCCAAGATGGAGCTGTAGACTTGAGGATCCTCAGCTACCATACTTGGGCCTCCGAGACTGCAGGCATGCACCACCATTTCTGGCTAATTAATAAAAAAATTAGTAGAGATGAGGTCTTGCTATGTTGCCCAGGCTAGTCTCAAACTCCTGGACTCAAGAAATCCTCCCACCTCCACTTCTGGGAGGTGCTGGGATTACAGGTGTGTGATAAGCAGAATTCTAAGATGGCCCCCAAGATTCCCAGTCTCTGGTGTAGCTGTGCTAGACAGCCTCCTCCCTTTGAGTGTGGGCAAATCTAGTATGACAGCTGTCACTCTTATAAAAGGCTACAATATACTGCAAAGGTGATGAGAAAGAGGCGGGATTTCCCCATGTTGGCCAGGCTGGTCTCGAACTGCTGACCTCAGGTGATCCACCCACCTTGGCATCCCCAAGTGCTGGGATTACAGGCGTGAACACACTATGCCCGGGCAGGGGAGGCTTTTAAGAAAGAACTTAAATCTTCCCTGAGTCAAGTGACTCCAAGCAGCAGAAAAATTCTCCACTAGCCTTGACAAAGTAAGTTGCAATATCGTGAGAGGGCTGGGGAGGCCCCAGAGGGACCATGTGTCAAGAAACTGTGAGCAGCTCTTAGTAATCACTAATGACACTAACTGACAGCCAGCAAGAGAACAGGGACCTCTGTCCTATAAGCACAAGGAACCAAATTTTGCCCACTACCATGAGAGTTCAGAAAAGGCTGCTGAGCTCCAGGAAGGAATGCAGGCCAACACCCCAGTTGCTGCCTTGTGAGATCCTGAGCAGAGACTCAGCTAAGGCATGCCTGGACTCCTGACCCATGGAGACCGAAATAACAGATGCACGTTGTTTTACCCTGCAAAGCTTGTGGCAATTCATTACGAAGCAATAGACAAGAACCAATATATCTGTGTATGGTGTTTTTAAAGCCTTGGAACCAGGGTGGCTCACAACACCTAAGCAAGGGGCATGACCCAGCAATGAGTCAATGACTGTATGAATGGAGGGAGACTGCAGTGGGAATCAGTTCCTTGGCGTGGGACACACCCTGACTCCCACCTCCCAACTGCAGAGAACCTTGCTTATACTCCTCTTAGCCACCAGGTGGCCCCAGAGACCCCATAAGGAGGTGTCTCCCCAACTTGCAGGTCAGCATCTGAAATGGAAGGAACAAAAAATGAGATGGTCCCTCTTCTAGTCCTAATACCCACTTCCCATAAGGCCTGCAAAGGGGAATAGGCTTGCCCAAGGTCCCACAGCTCTAGCATTCTCTCCAATCAGGCATTTTACTGTGCCCCCCATTCCAGGCTATTCTGAAAGACAAACTCAGACTACGGCCTCCTCCAACCTGTTTTCACCAGGGCAGGGACTGGGAGAGAGAATGGCATCAGCAGTGGGCCCAGGAGGGCCTGTGGGCTGAGGCTGGAGTCTGTAATTGACGTGGCTGATGTATAGACTAGGAAAGGGTCCAGCCCTGAGGTTGGTGCTGATGGCGTTGGTGAAGACTCATGAGACTGGGATACATCTGAGGGGCTTTGCTGCAGTTGCTGGGCCACTGACCCCATTCCCTTTGTCCCTTCCCTTGAAGATTCTGTTGAAGACTGGGTTTCTCTAGAAGCAGACGCAGAGACTGAGTTTGGGTTGCAAGATGTTTATTAGGAGTAACTACCTGTGAAAAGAAGAGGGAGCAGGACTGGCACAGAAAGTCGAAGTGTGCTGCAGACCTGATGAAGCCCTGGCTGTTGTGGGCCTGGTGGGAGTACCTCCTGTCAGCGTCCGTCCCATGTTGGACTGAAATAACTGGGTATTCATACCATGCCTCACTCAGACACCAGGTACAGGCTGCCCCAGGAAGGGCGTGGTCTCAGGTGAAGTGGCTCTCTGCAGCTGGGGCCTACGCTGATGGCCACCGTGCCCAGTGATGGCACTTCCCACAGCTGGGTAAGTCTTCCCTTGAAGAGAGTTCTGGGGACAGGTGGCCCTATCTTCCACACCTTCTCAACTTTACCTCCTCTCATAGGATTTTTTTTCTTTTTTTGCTAGCTTGCTTTCAACCCAAAAGGCTGAGAGGAAGCAGTCACTGTAATTTCCACACTCGGCCCTGGCTTACTGGGAAAACAGAGACTTTGTCCCAGCTTAGGAATGCACTGGATGTGACAGATGAAGAATTGGGGGGGGGGGTGTCAGAGGGACAAAGGAGGGAAAAGCCTTGGTCTCCATTGCAAAACACTGGTCAGAGCCTCAAAGACAGGAATCGCTGTGCTTCTGTTGCTCTTTGGTCTTTCAGTAAATCTACTCTGCAGACCAATGTGTGCCAGGCACTGGGACCAATCCCACCACTCCAGGCCCTGAGCTGGGGGCCTAACACCATCTGCAGATTCAAACAGGGGGGAGAGGTAGCACCCCAAAGCCATGCTTCACCAGGAGGCAGAACCAAGGCGTGTCTCTGACCCTAGCTGCTTGCAGCTCCCCCTGTGAGCTGCTTCCCCACCTGACCCTGTCTCCTTCTCTGACAATGGAGTAACACCATTTGTGGGCACCATGTTGAATGCTTCCCACCTCAAACTTCATCTCACCCTGGGAAGCAGCTACTGTTATTAGCTCCATGTTACACGTATGGAAAGAGTTGGGACTTCGTTAATTTGCTCAATCAAAGTCACACAGGTGCTCAGTGGTGGAGCTAGGCTTTGAGTCCAGAGAGTGTGGCCCAACCTTGCTGCTTAATCCTCATTAAAGGCAAGGAAAGGCATGGTCAAGCCAGCCCCCTCGGACCAGACCTGCCTACATACTTGTTTCATTTGGCTCACAGAGATTTAAAAATATGAGTCAGCTTTCCTTTTGAAATTAAGATGACTCAGAAACATCTATCCAGCTTCTCTTTAAGTCTGGCCACCTGGCCACTGTGGACTGCATTCCCACAAAGTCACAACTGGCAGGAGGTGGGCCCCTTGAAGTGGGTCATGACACCAGTGTCTACCCAGAGTCACTCATTTATGTTACCTGCCTGGTCCCTTCAGGGGTGTTTGCTATTCTTCAAGAAGGCCAGGGAGTCCTGAGATAGAGGCCTAGATATGCCAGGTGGCTTGCCCTAGGACACCCAGCTGGGGCTCAAATCACCTTGAATCTGGTGAACTGTTTCAGGAGGGTTGAGGAAAAGCATAGACATGCAGAACCACAGGGCAAGGTCGGGGCAAATACACTTTATTCAGTCCTGGCATCAGACTGGCGGAGTCCTGCTGTGGGTGCCAGTGCCCCAGACGGAGGGACCCCACCCCTCAGCTACGAGACTAGTTCTCCAAGACCACAGACAGTGACATCTCTTCACTCACATGACGTCTTTTTTTTCATTGTCTTTTTTTGTTGTTTTTCTTAAAAAAAGAAAAAAAAAAAAAAAAAGAAAGAGAGAAAGAGCGCAAGAAAGGCCCAGAGCCGGAGCACCAAGCTTGAAGGAGGCAGCTGGTGGCTTTGTCAGCGACGGGAACGCGTGGGGCAGAGACCTGTAGAGACCCTGGGCAGGGGTCCCGGAGGACTCTGGGACCGTTTGTTCCTGAGATTTGTGTATGTGAATGAGAGTGTGTGAGCCACCCGGGAGGGTGAACACACGCCGGTGAGATACAGGTAGTGAGGGCAAGGCGGGTGTGGGGAGACCGGAGGGTCGGGGCGGGGCTGAGCGGAGAGATGGCGGCGTGAGAGGGGTCACAGCATCAGGGCCTACAGGGCTCCCGAGGGCACCCTGAACCGGACACGACTTCCTCCCAAGAGCAGCGTTTTCCCCATTTCTCACTTGGAAGAACCGAGGCGCAAACGGCCCATCTCTACTCGCAATCCATTGTCAGTCTCACTGGCCAAGTCGATGGTCTCTTTCAAGCCAGATGTCTACAAGTGGAACTCTTCCTGCCATCACGTCTGCTATCCACGCCTCAGTCCCAAACCCCTAGCACCAAAGTGCCTCAGTTTTTCCCGCTGAATACTGCAGCTGTGGGTACTGAGGGTGGACCTGGGTGACAGGAAGGGTCGGTGGGCTTAGGGAGGAGCCCAGGTTTCGGGTGCCCTGAGGTGAGAGGGCAATTCCCAGGAGGGGGTGGGGGAGGAGCAGCAGGGATCCTGTCCCCAGACTGGTAGGTGTCTTGGTTTTGAGTTTTCTTGGGTGGTCCCTTCCTCTAACGTTGGATTTCCAAAGCAAGACCTTACCTCCCAATTCCCAGTTGGGGAAAAAAGGGACACATAGTTAAGACTGTAGAGGCAGCCACGCGGTCGAAGAGGTGGTCCGCGTGGGTGTAGGAGACCCCATACGGGAAAAGGGGCTATGCCACTTGGGAGAGTTTCAGACCCAAACCAACCCTTCCGAATGCTCCTCCCATTAAGGCAGCGACGCCCCGTTGGGTGGAGAGGAAACCCAGGGCTCCAGGATCAAAGGATTTCCCAGGATCGCTCTACACTCGCCCCCGCTTCTGCCCGGAGCAGGCGACGAGGGCGGCTAGACTGGGACCAGCCCCCTCCTCCCAAGTAGCATTAAGCATGCGCAAGAAGGGGGTGGGTCCCAGCGGAGGGGCGGGCCCTGGCGCTCCGGGAATAAAAGGAGCGCGCCCCTCCCCCCAGGGAAGGGAGGGGCACAGGAGGAGCGCGCGTTGCCACCCAGCCGCATCACCCCCCTAACCCGGAGCGGGCAGGCTGGGCGAGGGAGGAGGGATCCGGAGCAAGGGAGGGGGCGGGTCCTCCGGCCACGAGGAGGGGCGTGTGCAAAGGGGGGGGAGGGGTGCAGGTCTGTAGGAGGACGGGAGGTGTATCGGAGGGGGCTGGCTGCTGGTGGCTGTGCGGGAGGGGGCAACGTGGGGAGGGGCTTGGATGTCAGGGAAGGGGTGGGGGTTGGGCTGCCTTGGGGTGTGTCTGCGGGGGAGGGGCATGTCTGGATTGAGGGGGGATGGGCACGTCCAGGAAGGGGGAGGCTGCGCGGGAGATGGGGTGCCAGCCTCGGCCTCCGAGGGGCCCCAATACCTGATTCCTGTATGTAAACAGCTGGTTTGGGGGCGTGCGCGCCCCGCTGACGGTGGGCTCAGTAGGTGAAAACCAGGTCGGCGATGCTAGACGGGCGCCAGTCCCCCGCGATCATCTCAGTAACCTCGGGGGTGCAGTAGTCCGGGAACTCGAAGTGCGACGTGCCCGAGGGAGGCGGCAGGTCCGGGTCGCGATCCAGGGCGCTGCAGTCTAGGCCGGCCGGGCCAGGGGGCATCCTGGACAGAAAGCCTAGCGGCTCCTCCCCCGACGCCACCGTCTCCTCTTCGCCTTCCTCAGCCGCTGCCGCCTCCTCCTCCTCTTCCTCCGGCTCCTCATCCTCCGACAGTGTCGGGGAAGCGGCGGTGGCGGCCGTCCCCTCGCCCGACGGCCCTTGGGCGCGCTCCGCTTGTCCCCGGGCGGCCCGTCCCGCCGGGACCATCCTCCACAGCTCGCGCCCCGGGGTCTCCACCAGGCGCACTTCCAGCAGCTCCTCGTCGTCGTCTTCATCGTCGTCCTCGGGCGCTGCCGCCCCGCCCCCCAAAGGCCCTCCAGCCGCTCGGCGGCCCCCGCGGCCGGCCAGCTGCGGCCCGTGCTTGAGCCGGCTGCCGCCACCGCCGCCACCGGGGGGGCGGGGCCGCGCCTTGGCGGGCGCCCCCTTGCTCTTTTTGCGCGGCCGGTACTTGTAGTCCGGGTAATCCGCCATGTGCTTGAGGCGCAGCCGCTCCGCCTCCCGCACGAACGGGATCTTCTCCGAGTCCTGCAGCAGCTGCCAGCGGCGGCCCAGGCGCTTGGAGATCTCGGCGTTGTGCATGTCGGGCCACTGGTCCATGATCTTCCGCCGTTCGTGCTGCGACCACACCATGAACGCGTTCATCGGCCTCTTGATGTGGCCGCTCGGGGTCTTGCACCAGCCGGGCTCGCGCGCCCCCTCCTCGGCCTGCCCGGGTCCCGGGGGCGGCGGCCCGCCTTCCCGCTTGGCCCTCGCGCCCCGCTGCTGCACCATCGCGCCTGGGCCCGGGGCCGCTAGACGCCGCCGGGGGCCGTCCGCATCCTCCGCGGCTGGGGGTGGGGGAGGAGGCAGCGGCGACGGAGGGGCGGCCCCGCCCCGCGGCTCGGCCCGGCCCCCGCGAGCTGGGGGAGCGAGGAGCTCAGGCGCTTGGGCCCAACGGACGGCGGGGGGAGAAGGTCAGCGCGGTCTCAGGCGGGCTCGGCGCGCCCCCGCCGCCTCCGGCAAGTTGCGTCCGGGCGCACAACACACATTGTTTTGCGGGGGCGAAGGAATTGCACCCTCCGGGCCCCCGCGGGCTCTTCTTGCAGCCTCGGGCTCCGCCGCGGCCCGCGCGCGCCGCTCCCCGCCCCGCCGCCGACGCCTTTCAGTGTCTTTCTCCCCGCGCGGCCCCGCCGGCGCGCGCGCCACCCCTCCCCCCTCGCCGTCTGCGGGCCGCTGCGGCGCGCGCGGGGCCGCCCCGTGTAAACACCGAGGTGCCCGCTTGGGCTGCGGCCGGGCCACGCCTCGCGCTCGGGCGTCGCGTCACCCGTTGCTGGGCAGAGAAGCCGGTATTTGCATCTCCCAATCGCCGGCCGCCGGAGCGGGGCGGGGCTCGGGCTGCGGGGCTGGGCGGTCTCGCGGCTGGGATTGGGGGACACCGGGAAGATCGGTTTCTTTTCTTAGGTTGGGGATTGGAAGAAGGGTAGGGGACGCCGAGCCTGCCTCCTATCTGGTTCTGGACGCTTGTCTCTGCTCCGCGTTGCCTTTTAAATTTTAGCTTATTCCGAGACACCTGCCGCCAGGTAGGATTTCCGCCCTTTCCTCTCTCAGGGACGTCTTTTCGGACAGTCCCAGAAGAGAATTTGCGGGGACCAAGACTAGGAAAGCTTCTTAGAAGACGGACTAAGGTTGTCGTAGATGTTGTTCCTGCCTGCTACACACAGAATCCAGCCACATGTGGGACCAGCAAATGCTTATGGACCCAATGAAAGAATCCCTTTCTCATATATATGTATATTTAATCCCGTTTGAGGGTCCACAATAATCCCGAGGAAGAAGGGAATATAATATGATGCCCACTGTCCAAACAGGAAACACCGAGGAGACACAGACTAGGACCGGATTCCTAGGCTCGTGGTCCCAGCTTTCTCTCCCTTGCTCAGCACCAAGGGGCCGGAGTACCTCGCCTGCCAGCCAAGGGTTCTGAGCTGGGCGGACTTCCCGCTTTTCACAAACCGCGGGCAACATTCGAGGATGCCAGGGTGCGCCATTCCCACGTCCTACCCCACCCCATAGCCTGCGCGGTGCCTGACTTGGGCGCGTCGCTCCTCCCAAGCCTAGAGAAGCGTGCAGGGGCACGGGCGGAGCCAGTCCTGGGGGCGTGGCCGGGTGGCAGGCACGAGGCGCGTGGCGGGGAGGGGCCGCGCGCTCCCGGCTCACCACGTGTGAGCCCGTTCGGGCACCACCGGGCGTGTGCCGCCCCTGGGGGAGGTCACCTTCACGGCGTCGTGAGCTTGGGCGATGGGAGGGGGCGCTGAGGCCTCGCCCTCGGGAAGCAGGAGCTGGGAGGTGTCCGGATTAGGGTCTCCAAGGTAGCATTCCGCTAGAGCGTAGCGGGCATGGTTTGGGGCCGGGAGAATGCGCCTCTGGCGGTACAGCTCACCCACTTCTGGAGGAGCGAAGGCCAGGAGCCGAGCCTGTGGGTGTGGGGCGGGGAGGAAGGACTGAGGTGCGGCTCCGCGGCACCGGGGGCGGGGTGATGCTCTGGGTGGCGGGGCTCAGGGTGGGGGTGGTGGGAGAAAGTAATTGGAGCATCTCTGAAAGGAGGGGGCAACTCTTAAAGGCACAGGGCTCTTGGAAAAAGAAGGCTCTGCTCCCGTCCAAGCGGTCCCTCCGCCTTATTAGACGCTGAGATCTGGAAGTTCCTACGTGTGAAACCTTTACATCTGCAGCCTGGGTAGTCTACCCGATGGAGTCACACTTCTTGTGTTTCACATCCCAGTCCCTGCTTTTGCTTATCCTGAAAATGGGGAAAATGCAGTTTCTCCCTCACATGGTTGTTTCACAGATTAAATGGGTTAATGCATGTAAACACATCCTAATGCCTAGTGAATGTTCAGTAAAACTTATGATAGACCGGGCGCGGTGACTCACACCTGCAATTCCCAGCACTTTGGGAGGCCGAGGCGGGTGGGTCATTTGAGGTCAGAAGTAAGACCAGCTTGGCCAACATGGTGAAACCTTGTCTCTGCTAAAAAGACACGGGCCACCACACCCGGCTACTAAAAAATGAGCCGGGTGTGGTGGCCTGGGCCTGTAATCCCAGCTGCTCCGGAGGCTGAGGCAGGAGAATCACTTGAACCCAGGAGGCCCTGCAGCCCAGCTTGGGTGACAGAGTGAGACTCAGTCTCAGAAAAAAAAAAAGTTATGAGAAACTAGATTTCTCAATAGTTATTACACTACGAAGGTCACCAGCAACCCAGAAACATCCAGTTAATGAGAAAAAAAAATGGGCAGGGTGGGGAGGGCTCTAACATTTCAGAAAGGTATCAAAGTAATGATCATGGGACAAATAAAAGCTTTCTTGGAATTATCAACACCTTAAAATTTTTCTCATTTAATATTTATTTTATTTTAAATGATGTATGATAGGCGCCATCATCTTTTCAGTGCTCTTGGCCTCTCAAAGATCTGACTCTGATCCTGTAGCTGCTGCTGCTCTTATTATTCCAGTGTATCTGAATAGTTTCTACCTTTCTCACTGCCAGACTGATTTTGACCAGGGTTTCACTCCTTATTCTCAGCAGTGAGAAAAAATATAAAAAATTAGCTGGGCGTGGTGGCACATGCCTGTAATCCCAGCTATTCAAGAGGCCAAGGGAGAAAAATCACTTGAACCTGGGAGGTGGAGATTGCGGTGAGCTGAGATCTCGCCATTGCACTCAGCCTGGGCAACAAGCTTGAAACTCCATCTCAAAAAAAAAAAGTTCATAAATTATTTAATGTTCCTTCCTTCAACAGGAAGAGCCTAATTCCCCTTCCCCTTCCCCAGTTAAGTGTGAACTTGCCTCTAACTAGTAGAATATGGCAGAAGAAATGCTGGTATGTGACATCTAAGATTGGAAATAAAAGGCTCTATGTTTTCCTCCTGGCTGTCTTATTTTGTATCATTTATTTTGGGAGACGTCAGCTTTCATGTGAGGGCACTCAAGCAGCCTATGGAAAGGTGTATGTGGTGAGGAACTGAAGCCTCCTGCCAACACCAATGAGGAACTGAGACCTACTTCCAAAAGCCTGAGTGATCCATTGTGGAATCAGATCCTCTAGCCCCAGTCAAGTCTTCAGATGACTGCAGCCCTAGCCAATGTCTTAACTGCAACCTCACGGATGACCCTGAGCCAGAACCATGCAACTAAACTGCCTGGATTCATGACCCACAGAAACTATGAGATAGTAGCTGTTTGCTTTGTTAAGCCTCTAAGTGTGGGAATAATATATTCATATATTCTCCTGCCTCAGCCTCCTAAGTAGATGGGATTATAGGCATGCACCACCACACCCAGCTAATTTTTTTGTTTTTAGTAGAGACAGGGTTTTGCCCATGTTGGCCAAGCCGGTCTCAAACTCCTGGCCTCAAGCAGTCCACCTGCTTTGGCCTCCCAAAGTGCTGGGATCACAGGCGTAAGCTACTGTGCCCAGCCACAGAACAGACATTTAAACTGGCTGTCCCCCAAACACAGCAGGCTTGGGCGTACCTCAGGGCCCTCATTCATGCTATCTCCTCTGCCTGGAACACTTTTCACCCCCATCCCCACATGGGCTGGAGCATCTCCTCATCCTAGCCTCAGCTCAAACAGGCTCCCCAGAGAGGACTGTCCTGCTCGCTCTCTGCAGCTAGCCGTTCATCCCCCTCCATCTCAGGTGCACAGAATCGCTTCATCTGTGACACATCCTTACTGTTGTGGGGTTTTTTGTTTAGAGACCTGGTCTTGCTCCTATTCCCAGGCTGGAGTGCAGTGGTGCAATCATAGCTTACTGCATCCGGAAACTTCTGGGCCCAAGTGATCCTCCTGCCTCAGTCTTTCAAGTAGCTAAGACTACAGATGCATGCCACGTGGGTGGCTAATTTTGAAAAATATTTTTTGTAGAGAGGGGTCTCTCTATGTTGCCTAGGCTGGTCTTGAACTCCTGGGCTGAAGCGATCTTCCTACCTCAGCCTCCTAAAGTGCTGGGATAACAGGTGTGAGCCACCATGCCTGGCCCTGTGTGTATTTATTTTTATATAACATAATAAAAATGTGTGGAGTCAGCAATCTGATACAAGAACTGGAACATTGATAATAACCCATTTTCCCCTCTAAACTCCTTTACCATCCCATATCCTGCCTTCCTTCACCTGAGATAATGTTTACCCTGATTTTTCTGAGAAAAAAAAAAATAGCTTTATTGAGATGTAATTCACATACCATTCTATTCACTCATCTATAGTGTACAATTCAGTGGCTTTCCATGTATCCACAGAGTTGTGCAACTGTTGCCACAATGGATTTTAGAATATTTTCATCATCCCCGAAAGAAACCATTAGCATCAGTACTTGTTAGCAGTCACTCTCCCATCTGCTCTGCCTCCCCTCTAATCCTCAGCCCTAGGCAACCATTAATCTGCTTCTGTATCCATGGATTTACCTATTCTGGACAGTTCATGTAAAGAGAATCATAAAACGTGGCCTTTTGTGACCGACTTCTTTCACTTAGCATCATGATTTCTAGATTCATCTATGTAGTAGCATATATCAGAACTTCCTCTTTATTGTCAAATAATATTCCATTATAGGCCAGATGTGGTGTCTGACGCCTATAATCCCAATTATTTGGGATGCAGAGGTGGGAGGAGTGCTTGATCCCAGGAGTTTGAGACTAGTCTAGGCAGCATAGTGAGACCCAACCTCTAAAAATTAAAAAAAAAAAATAACTGGGCCTAGTGGTGTGTGCCTATAGTCCTAGCTACTTGGGAGACTGAAGCAGGAGGATCTCTTGAGCCCACAAGTTCCAGGTTGCAGTGAGCCATGATCACGCCACTGCACTCCAGCCTGAGTGACAGAGTGAAATTGTCTAAAAAAAAATCAAACAAACAAAATACTCCATTGCATGGTTATACCATATTTTTTAAATTCATTATTGAGCTGATGGATATTTTGGTTATTTCAAATTTTAGGCTATTATGAATAATGCTGCTATCAATATTTGTGCACAAACTTTTGTGTGATACATATTTTCAATAGTCTTGGGTATATATCCAGATGTGCGATTGCTAAGTCATATGGTAACTCTATGATTCACCTTTTGAGGAACTGCCAGCTGTTTTCCAAACTGGCTGCACTATTTTTCTTTTTTCTTTTCTTTTTGAGACAGAGTTTCGCTCTTGTTGCCCAGGCTGGAGTGCAATGGCACGGTCTCAGCTC